CTAAGCCAGAGTAGTGAAATCATTCTATTTCTGCAGCTTGGATGCAGTTCTTTCAATATAAAAAGTGCTTATGCTACCATAGCATGCATTTTACATGCACCTATCATTCATTTAGCAGCTTCTACAGGTACAACTGCCACTTCTTAGGGAGAAAACAGAGGAGGTTGAAATGTTTCAACTACCCAAACAACAGAATTGTAGGAATAGAGAACTGAGTGTAGATTACCTTGAAAAAATGCCACAGTAGCAGAACTGCTGAAAAAGCCACCTGCATCTCCTCTTTCTGGATGGTGGTAACAGACAGCAGGCAGCCAAAACTGGGGACCAAGGAAGAGGATGTAGAGACATCAAGCTGGCCAGTAATTGCTTTCCAAATGAAGGGCTTTCATCAGACTGTTACTTGTGATAGAAGTTGAATTCTAAACTGTGCTATAATGGTGAAATTATTCTCCATTATCCTTTTTTTTTCTTTTTCCAGAACGATTGGTTTCAAACACTTTTGAAAAAAAAATAAGCTTTTTTGAAAATCTTTTCCTGCTGTGAATGCTCTTCTGAAAATACTGGCCTTAATAACTCAGTGTCCCAAATCCCTCTCTGTAAAATATGGACATTTCCCTCTCTTGCCCTTCTTTAAGCTTGCCTTTCTGAAAAATAAGCCTTCTCTGAAGAGGACTCTCTGCAAGTACATCTGTATATACTGGTCATCATGGGATAACAATTTCACTTTGGCCCAGTGAATGAGAACTAGCAACAACTTGAATGGAAACAGAGGAGAGAGGTAAACAGAGGAGGATAAAGTAAATCTGGATCTCCCAAAGGCCTGTTTGGCCACCCTGCTTGTCCTGCTGGGCACTGCTGGGCCTGTGCATGCCCTGTGGTTTGTTGTTTGTTGCAATCAGTCGTCTGCCATCCCTGAGACATGACAGGAGGGGCAAAGCTCCTAATAAAAAGAAACCTGTATCTCCCTGTTCCCTATTCTGACTGGCAGTCAGCTGAGTACCAGGTAACTCATATAGAGAAGGTCAGGCAATAAAAGAGATGTCATGTGCAGCCCAAAGAGACGGTTAAACTCCTGCGCAGATTCCAGCCGTTTCACTGGGGCTTTAAATCACTAAAAGCTTCTGTCAGCAACTGCATGCGACTGCAGTGACCCCCATGAGGACCACAAAGCTTCGGGCTACTGACTCACTGGAGGGAACAGATGACACGGTGCTATCTGGGGCAGGACTTGGCTTGAGGAGAGTGCCATCATAATTCCTTATTTTTCATTTCCAACAAAGTTAATGCTTGTGAAAGGTATTGGACTGACATCCCAGGAGACTAACTTCCTTCTAATTAATTACAGTTAATCATCCAGGCATTACTTAATGTTTGCACAGTGCTTTGAAGCAGCAAAGCACAATACAGCAGGTAGATAGTATTAATTCAAAGAAACAAGCGTAGCCAAGCTAGCAGTCAGTTTGCCTGCGTGGCTTCCCACCAAAGCCCTGACTGAGATCGCACCAACTCATCTCACACAGTGGGCCGTTCCTTGGCTCCATCTTGTCTTCCAAGAGATCTGCAGGTACCTAGAACCAGCAAAAGGTCTGCGCGAGTCTCCCCCACAGGCCAGATACAGGAGCGTTGCCCAAAGAGGGAAAGGGGACAGCACAGCGGACACTGGGCTTTGACCCACAGAAGGCCGCTGCAATGGAGTGCCATAGGCAGCACAGTTTCAGAGCAGTCCTGGAGGCTGTTCTCCTTTAACCTCTCAGGCTTGTCAAGGGACTGTGTAACTGCTTTGGCTCCACACCATTTCCTTCCTACTGCTTTTGGACAGCTCCACATCTGACCACATGGCCCACAGCCTCTCTAATGACAAGAGGACAGTTTGGGTCTCCTCCCCATTCTGGGTCGCACCACTGAGCCAAACCAGATCCGAACAGGAGGAAGGAGCCCCTGGTAGCCGCCGGCCACCTGTGCCCTCAGCCCTTTGGCTGCCTCCTCTCCAATCCCAGCTGACTGCTCCCTCATTCTCTGACAGAGTCCAGGCCTCTGTCATCTTCTTGGTCCCTTGCTTTCACGAGTTTGCCTTTCTCAGCCTTGGCTGGGGCCTGGCATTCATCTGCCAGGATGAAAGGGGCCCAACACTCCCTGTCACTGTCATCCTCCTCAGGGGAGCACTGGGGGTGCCCCCTAACCGCAGGCATAGCTGTAAATCCCAGAGTTCTCTTTTTTCTCCTTTTCACTGCACGTGTAGCAAACATTTCAGAGTGCTTACAAATTCCTCCAAGCACCATCGAGTCAAACAAGTGACAGTAACAATCAGTGGCAGTATGACAGGCCAGCTCATCCAAATGACACATTTATAGGGGCACTTAAAAAGCCTTCTGCTGACCCTCCTGTACAGAACACTGTGACAGAACACATGCAGGAACTATAAGCCCACCCAGATCTTTGCCGTTCTGGAAATCACTGCTAGGTAGCAAATGGATTTCTGGTAGTGGCCTAACTCTACATGAACACATCAAACCCACTGAGGGCTGATATTATCCGAGTAAGAATAAAAATCCATGCCCCACTGTGCACCATTTGCCTCTTGCTGTGTCTGCACACCCCCCTTCCTTCACCTCTTTTTTCTGTAGCTCATGTGAGGTACTACAGGTACTACAGCAGGCCCAGGGGCATTTGTGCTGCAACCTCTATTGTAGGGTGAAGTTACCCAGAATCAGGTCTCTGCCATGCAGTAGTATTATATTAGTTTGAGGAGAAACGAAGAGAGAAATATGCCCTTACCTTCAAACCTACTCTCTTCAAGATCTAGTAGTATTGCAACCTGTTGGGGGACCATGATACATTTTTCTGTGAATACCAGAATTTAGAAAGATTCAAATGGTGATCCTGATCACCACTGGAAAAAAAAAACGAATGGCTGTTTAAATATAATACCTTTCTGCTTTCTGTAACCCCAAAAGCATATTGAAAACATAAAGCCAATCCAGCAAACAGTATGTACCTGGGCAAACCCTCGCACTCCCACTGAAGGCAATGGTGGCTACAGCTGGGAACAGACGTTAGCTGCCTGAAGGACCTGGGACCCTTTGAGAGGAATTACTCCCTCTGTGGCTGTTGAGACCAACATCGTATGGCTAGTCTGCAGCAGCACATAATGAACAGAGGATGGAGAACGCCCACTTGGATGTACTGTGGGTAGAAATAAGTGAAAGGCGATGATCTTCTGTGATTGGGTCACATACCATTTTAAAGAACCACGGTATTTTTAAGCAATAAAAGCAGCTCAGAATTTATTTCTATATCTCAGTCTGTGGTTACCAATGAGGAAACGGGTTTATTCCTTATCATGTCCACAGCAGTCAGAAAATTTACCTTAATACTGTTTTAATGGGGTTTCTTTTCCTGTCGTCCACTGCTTTCTCCACCCTTCCCTCATCAGAGGTTTCTATCCCTTCACAGCATATCCACACAGACAGTTGATTCATCACTCAGAACAACTGAGGGGGTGTAAATCTCCACAGGGGTTGCAAAAAGAGCTGCTGACCAGAGAGAACTTGTCTTAGGGTTCTTGTTCTGGCTCTCTCCCACCAGAAGTTCCTCCTTTGTATTTATGCTGAGTGCCAGATGAACTGTTTTTGTGTGGCTTTGCTCAAGCTCATGGGGAAGGAAAGGAATCTTGAAAAGCAGACTTTTTTTTTAACTGTTTTTCTCCTATCAAATTCATGCCCCCCCCCAAAAAAAATGCTCCAGCTGTACTGGCTCAGTACAGACTCAGTGTAATTTCATTCTCTGCCAGTGTACTCGTGATAGTGTCAGCTAGTAACAGTTTTGGTAGCAGTGTTTGAGCTTCAAGCACTTACTTAATGTAAACTGCATTGAAACCACCTCCTTATTTCATGGAGGTCTCTGAACAGACTTCACGTGACAGTAATTTTATGACCTGGTTTGGATTTGGAATGCTGGCCTAGCAATGAAAACTGTTACTTCATATTATCACTCTCTTAAGATAGAAATATTTTCTCTATCTCTACATGATATTTAGAGAGTACCACTTTCTACCAGAACTTACTGAAAGCCTGGAAGCTAAGGAACAGTTCTTCAGATGAAGTTAAATTGCCATAGTTTTTA